CTGACACTCAATTGGCTTCCACTCTGAACCAATCAAAAATAATTCTGTATAAGTTTTGGAATTTACCCTTTACTGACACTCAATTGGCTTCCACTATGAACCAATCGGAAACAATTCTGTATAAGATTGGAATTTACCCTTCACTGATGGTGAAATGGCTTCCGTGCCAATCAGAAAAGTGTTTATATGAGTTGCATTACAATAAAAGACATTTTATTCTAATGTGAAGCCATTTTATTGTCATTGGAAGCCCTTTTTGGTAGGGTGGAAAGCCATGTCAGTGTCAAAGGAAGCCATTTAACAAATGCTTTTGTCTAGTTCTCTTTAAAAAAACAAATTTTAAAAACTTTAAATTTTAATTAATAAGTTTTAGGAAAATATTTTACTCAAGGTTTGAAATGATGACATGTTCCCAAAATGTGACTAAAACATTTGTCATGATTCTTAAATTGTAAGTTGCTTGCAAACTGGCAACATTCCTTTAAAATCTGAGCTTTACGATCCCTGTTAATGCATCTTTAATTATATTTTATTAATAATTTTATAATTTTGTTTGAGGAGACTAGACTACAACTAGACCAAGCAGTTTGCATAGTTTGAACTTCTAGAATAAGATACCCCGTAGTCCTAAACAAGTTTGTGTAGTTTGGGATCAAATGTCAAACGATGCTGAATTTTTCTTGAATAGACCTCAGTCTTTAGCTGTGTCTCATAACTAAAGACTCATCTGCAAAGGCTAATGGCCTTGCTTAGGAGCAAATCATTTGCAAAAGGCAACTGTGGTACAAAGAATGTGCAAGCCAAATAATACCAAGGCTTTGAAATCCCACAGACTTTTTGGTATTTGAGAAAAGCTGACTTATAAACTAAGTTAAGCCTATGCAAATGAATCTATGTGATGCTCAAAAAGAGTACATGTATCAAATGTGAATTTATCTTTTTTACCTGCTGTGCAGTGAAAATAAAAACAGTATATAATCATATTTTACAGTGCAAGGAGCAAAAATATTAGCATGTTTAATGTGTTTGCATACTTCTTTGTGCTGCCAAACGAGATTAAACACTTTTGATAAAACCACCCAGCTTTGCATCAAAAGGAGTCAGTTTAACCTACAGCTGTACAAAATCATGTGCATTGAAGTATGCAAATATTAATTATGGTCATTCTTTTGCATTTTTCGCTTTGAACTTTGACAGCTGAGTAATCTTATAATTAACTCAGTGACAAAATACAAACCAAGGTATAGAATAAGTTAGAGGGATGGTTCATTTCTTCTTATGATGGGAATAAACTTAGAACGAAGCAGTTGCGTAACAGCCATGGATGTTTTAGGGCAGGAAAAGTGCAATGTTTATTGCATGACAAGATTTCATTTCTAAAGGAAATTATTATTATTATTTTATCTTACGATATGGCTATTGTGAAACCACTTTCGCTCAAACTTGGATTCAGCTGAAACTTCCTAAGAATACTCTTTAAAGGTCCAACAATCACTGTATGAAGTGTTTTCTCGATATTCAGGACGAAAGTATGATATTTTTACGATTATTTTTTGGAGTCTGTGACGTCATACACTCAACTTCAAACATTGCTACATATATTTCTTTGTATATAAATCCTTMATTTATTTTATTCCTATGAMGCCCAAAGGGTGGCTAATGTGCTTATTTCACATTACTTGTGACTATGATTTATATTTTATGTTTGGGTATTTCTTTCTCCCTTTACTACTGATATTTTGATCATAAACTACAAAGAAATGTATGGAGCGATGTTCAATGTTGAGTGTATGACGTCACAGACTCCAAAAAATAATCGTAAAAATATCATACTTTCGTCCTGAATATCGAGAAAACACTTCATACAGTGATTATTGGACCTTTAAAGAGTATTCTTAGGAAGTTTCAGCTGAATCCAAGTTTGAGCGATTTTCGTCRTAGTAGCACTTTAAATATAATAATAATAATTTTTACTCTATATCCATAGTTAAGTTAATTTTTTGGTTAATTTGACATTTTTTCATTATGACCTCATATACTACCAATACCAGAATCCTTTGCACTCTGTCTTTTGTTCAGTTACTGTGTGGACACTCAAACCATGAACACTTCAAGGTTTTTTTAACATTATTCGAATAATCCAATCAGAAGCCAGATTCTTACAGAGGTGTGCCATATTAGAGTCTCTTGGGTTGCCGTTGCCATTGAAGTTTTAAAAAATTTACAATATAAAGTGAATCAATTATTTCATAACAGCTACTTCCTCAATGAACAATATTTTCACTTTATTTCTGTAAATTATTGACTGTTTGCACTTTGTGCGACAATCTAGCAGTTCATTAGTTTACCCGGAGTGAGCTAAAAATAAAACATCTAAAGATTTTCTGCCATTCGCTGTGATTGATTGGCATCTAAAAATGTTTGATTCCTTGTTTCTACAGAGAGCTGTGATTGTATAGTCATGAAAAAATGTCAAAAATGTTCATGGATTGAGTCTCCGCACTGTAATTAGATCAATTCTCTTACTATTCTCTATTCTTTTTGTACTTTCTGTACTCATACTAATGTTTTGTGGGCATCATTCAAGACATTTCCATGGCATATCATAGATATATTTTACTCTGAAAACTTTTATTTTGGCATTTGCATTGCTACGAAGCAATCCCCAGACAAAAATCGCGACGTGCACTTTGCAATAGGCTACTGTCAATCAAACACGTTGATGCCACCTCACACGCGTGTGTGATTCAAAAGGCGCCAAAACTTGTCAATTGTTTACAAGTATTATGGGCCACACTCACCGGGCCTATCCGGGCTGATCCAAACGCATGTAAATGACGTCAACTTGTTTGATTGACGGCAGTCTATTGCAAAATGCACGTCGCGATTTTTGTCTGGGGTGGCCGCATAGCAATGCAAAYGCCGGTAAGACATTTCCATATCTTAGATACATATCCTGAAAACGTTTATTAATGCAGACAATGAGTCATGGAAGCATTTTGGTTACGGTCCACTTAAATATGATATCCTGACAGAGCACATATAAGAAGTGTACTTGCACAGGGCTAAAATTATTAACAGCTGTTCGTCAGACTGTCTGGCCAGAATTAGAATTTGTCTGGTTGAATCTTTCCTTGCCAGTCATTTTGAACAGTCATGTTGAGCGAGAAACAGGTATGGCCAAGATAAAACTAATTTGGCTAGTTCATCATGACCAGCGACTGATCATGACCAGCTGTTATTTAAAGCACTGGTTGTAGTAAAGTATTACTAATTTTCATCCAAGAAATGGGTGCTTATATATGACAATCAAAAAATGTGTTTTATGGTTGATTTTTGTTGAATGCCAAAATGTAAATATGAGGACAAATTTTACTTTCCACTCAGTGGGTATACCCAAGGGTATTAACATGGCTGTCAACTCTCCCGGATAAACCGGGAGTCTCCAGATTTTGGACAGTATCTCCCGGTCTCCAGATTAGAGTCTCAAATCTCCCGGATAATTCCCGAAGCTGACCATTTCTTGTGAGACTCAACTTTCACAACCATAAAATTCCAATTATTTTGTGTTATTTTAAGTCGCTAACAAAATCAAAACGTTCCTCATAAACTGTTCTTGCAAGCAGGCCATTGTAATATAAGCGATAATCTGATTGGTCAGAAATAAACCAATCACATCAAATGTTACAAAGCGAAAGACGTCTTTTCGCGCGCTTTTTGACGTGCTGTGACGTCATGTCCCTTCCCTATCAATTCTCCAGATTTGAATATCTCGGGGGGTTGACAGCCCTGTATTAAGCTGTACTTCAGGGTACTATTTGTTGCTACTACCCCCAGGACATTTGGTATTGACACTCCAGGACATTTAGGTGCTGCTACCCCAGGGCATTTTGTACTGCGACCCCAKGGCATTTGGCAAATTTACTATTTCATTAATATTTTAATTCTTACGGGAATGCAAAAACATGCCATGCGTGAAATCTATGGTTCAAACAAACATGGCTGCCACATGAAAAATGCAAGAATCTATTTTACTGTAAAAATTAAATAATAATCTATAGGAACCTTGCTAGTATTCCCAGCCATTGTCAAATGTGATTGTAAAACTGTGAAGTAGATAGTTGATGTTGAGGGAATTGAGCAAAAACAGGCAAAGAGGATAATATTTTTCTGTATTCTTCTTGAACAAGTTGTGAAAATGTTTTAGGAATCCAAGGAGACACTGTTATTTGCTGAACGCTCTTGACTTAAGGAATGACTGTATGACAGTTATTTGTAGATAGTATAGTATTGAATGACGTGGCTCTAACATAATCGTAACATGTAAAATAGAGTTAAAGAAACAATAAAGATAATGTTATGCTGTAAACAAAAAAGTGTTCTAGATTTAAATCCCCTTTACTACAAAGTGGCAGCAATTGGGATACTTAACTACACCTACTTTTTAAAAAAAAGTGTACGAGGCCAGTCACTGAGAATCAAACTATGGACCTCTTGCTTAGTAGGCAGTACACTAACCAACCAACCACACTTGCTCCTTAAAACAAGTGTGTGAGGTCAATGAGGAACAAACTTATATGGACCTCTTGCTTAGCAGGCAGCACACTAACCAACCAAGCCACACTTGCTCCTTAAGACAAGTGTGTGAGGTCAGTTAGGATCAAACTATGGACCTCTTGCTTAGCAGGCAGCATACTAACCTACCAAGCCACACTTGCTCCTTAAAACAAGTGTGTGAGGTCACTGACGATCAAACTATGGACCTTTGCTTAGCAGGCAGCACACTAACCAACCAAGTCACACAGCAATAAAGATCACAGGGCTGTACCCCCTCACTGGCCAGGGGTATCTCTCCAGTTTTTGCCAGAAATATCAATGGAATCATATATTCTTTTTTTATCACATGTTGCAAAATGACTTTGCCCCCCACCACCTGGCTGTCAATCTGTTTAGGTGTTCACAGGATAATGATGTYACAATTTATTATTTATAACTGGTAACCCTGCATACGATTTCTTGTGTGTTTTCTCTTTATCTCTTTAATAAAATGAGAGGTTGACAGGATTCATTATCCAAAGTTCTAATTGTTTCAGGTGGAGTTCAATCATTGAAGATATTTTTCGCTTTATTTTTGCGGTTTTTGTGAGCAATTGCACCCGGAAATACGTCACAACGTAAATAACCGCAAATGCCTCGCAGTCCCGCAGAAATCCCGCCATGCAAACTGTCATGACCCTGAAACACGTGCAGAGTCAACTTGATCAAAACTTCAACATAAAACTGAAGATTTAGACGTTTTTCTCGAAGTCTAAAGGTGAAAAACCATTGCAGAGTTAAGAGTTAACAACCAGTTACTAAATTTTCTCAGTCAATGAGAAAAAAAATTTGATTTTTGAGCTCAAACGTTTGCAGTTTGTTTTAGTGTTGGGTTTTCCTGGCCCCGCGAAAAACATGCCACCGAAAAAAAGGCAAAAAATCGAAAAAGGTATTGAAATAATAATTGTTTTACTTAACTAAAGCTTTATATTGCTTTTTCATAAGTTACATTTTGATTTGGAAGAATATTTCAAGTAAAATATGAGTTTCTTTTTCGTCTTGTTGTTTGAAATACCTGGCAACACAGGTAGCCCAATGATCAAGACATAAGTTATTGTTGTTTATTGTGTAGAACAAAAGAGTAACAAATTGAAAGAAGAAAAGTCTGCCAAGCCTTCTGTAAGTATCAAAATGAACTTATTTATAAAGTACAGACCCAAGGCAAAAAACATTAAGGCAAGGGATTAGCTATAATAGCGCAGCGCAACCGTGACGTCATAAAAACGAAGACAAAGGCGAAATTCGGACAAACAAACTTACAAGTTTACTTTCAGCAGATAATTTTCACAGCCGATCGCHGTTGATCTTAGTTTACATGGGTTATTATTGTAACTTTAAGTAAAAATAATAAAATCGGTTCATATAATCCTCGTAGCGGTTAAACAGAATGCAATGTTTGTCCGAATCTTTAAGCTATTTTTAGGATCAGTGCGCTGCGCTATTCCCAAAGTTGAGTTGGCATTACAGTGCATTTTGGGGCTGTTATAGGAAATGAAACATGCTGTCTTAAAAATATGTCTACTCAAACTGTCCCAAAATGCAATGCAATACCAACTGGAGCCAGTTTTTAGCTCAACCTCAGAATGTCTAATACCAATGTTGGTTTACGAAACTGTACCCAACTTCACATCACTCCAACAATATTATCATGTTTGTTTGGATTTTGAGGTTTATACACGATGGTTGATGAAATCAGAACCAGAGTCAAGGATAGAAAGAGGAGTAGATGTGAAGGTACATTCTATATAACAAACAATGGGCTGCTCAGCACTCTAGAAATGAAGGGAAGCCCTAAATCTTGTATTTGAGAATGTAGTAGATTAGTGCATAAGACAAAAAATGGGTGAGACGTGGGATATTGTGTACTTCCAGAAATTATCCATACCACCCTCCCCCGCAGAGGAATTTGGAATTTCTGAGGGGTGAGGGGAGGGGGATCAGAGAAAGAATAAAATGACAGTGTGTTTTTGGAAAAAATTTGTAATTTCTGGGGGGTAGGGGGGTCTTAAAAAATCCTCCATTGGGAAAATAAAAAATTTCTGGAACTACACATTAGCAAAAAATGGATAGCCTGCAGCCCCCCTTCCCCCAAGTTGCATACATGAATTCTTGGAATAACTTTTTTTCAGTTTGGAATTGAAGATCTCAAAAAGGAACCCAATCAAACTGCATGCTGGGATGGAGTGAGGAACTACCAGGTACTATTGCAGTAACTATGGACACTAGTACTAATGCTAAGTTGCACTTGACCCATTATCAATGCACTGTGTACTACACTAAAAAATGATTCCTGCAGCCAGGAGAGGTCGTAGGGGGTCTTATCAGCACTGCCCAAATATCTCCACCCTAACCCTATATAAATTCTTCTAACTTTGATGTGGTTGACTTTCCAGGCTCGTAACTTCATGCGCGACCAGATGAAATTGGGACAGCAAGGATTCTTTTATCATAGTAATTGTAAAACCCCTGGTATTGCTGGTATTATCGAGGTAGGTAAATGTCTCTCTTTCTCTATTTTCCTTCCTTCCTTCCTTCCCTTCCCTCTTTCCTTCCTTC